TCCATATCCAATCTCAACAGATCTACAAGCCTTGTGACTAAAAATTAAAAGAACAGCCATAGTTAACCCACCACAGCCTAAGGGCCAAACTTCCACCCAGCTACTGATACAGACAGGGAGATGGCTTATCAATTACCACTGCAAGAAAACAGAACTCAGCTGGGGAAAATTAATGTAATTTACTGTTAATTAAAACAGACTCAGGAGCAGAGACAAATGTTAAGACAATGCCTTGGCTCCCCTCTCCCTTAAGCCAAACTGTATTCCTTCACCCCAGACTCCCACACCTTCCACCCAGGGCAGCTCAGGGGGCAGACAGGACAGCAGGGGTAGCTGTGGTCGGTCTGGAACAGCGTCTCTCCACAGCTCCTTCCTGCTGACATATTTCCCCTGCTGTGGCATGGGCTTTCTCCCATGGGATGTAGTCTTTCAGGAAAACAAGAATCCTTAAAAATGGGTTCCCCACAAGAACTCTCCATTGCCCCAGTGTGGGTTCCTCCTGGGTGGTATGGACACCTGCTCCAGTGTCATGAGAGCATCTCACTCCTTTTGGTTGCCTCCTCCTCTCTCTGTCAGGTGTTTTGCCTTTTCTTACACTCACTGTCCCCAAGGTGTCCTCCCCCGGCTGTTGGCTCAGCTGTGCCCTGCGGTGGGTGGGTCAGAGCCAGCTGGAACTGTGTTTCCAGCACAAGGGCATCCCTGGCCTCTCCCCCCAGAGCTACCCTGCAGTCCCTGCTGCTGGGCCACTGGCACCCAGTCCACAGGTTTAAAACTACTAGTGTTTTATCTAATAATAAAAAGAGCATTTTATAGGCTAAACCTAAAATCATAACCCCATGTGAAAGATTTTCTGATCAATCACATAGGAAGATGATTTGTAGCAAACACTAAGGAGTACTAAACAGTACTATGAGAAAAGCAGATCAAAAAACCCTAAAAGCATCCTCAGAAATGACATTACTTCAGGGGATCAGACAGCACAGGGAAGCTCACACCAAATGCTGTAATAGTTGGGGCAGCTGGGAGGTGCTGCCCACCCCTACACCCCCTGTGGTTACCCAGACAGGGCAGGAACTGTGGAGGCAAACGCTGTCCAACACAAACTCCAGTTCAAACGTGTCAGATAACTGCCAATGTAATATTAAGTCATTTTCTCAATTATTTCAGGACACTGTTGATAAAGGTCAGTTGCAGATAATGATTTGTCAGCTCCTTCCATCCCCTCCCCTTTTTGTCCCACTTCAGATTTTTCCAGAGCAATCCCAATTCATACAGTACTGAGTAGAGCATAGCTCTCATATGGGCCTGCTGGCCTGAGTCTTTACAGTAAGGTGAATTTTCTGATTAAAAAAAACAAAACAAAACAAAACAAAAAACCAAATAAACAAAACCCCTACTTTCCTCAAATATGAGATCCATATTTTTGTATCTTAGCATAAACACAGTGAAACCAACCCTCATGAATAAAACACAAAGCAAACTTACGAAACAATTGCAGAGCTAACATTACAGCTTACATGCTGTTACAGAAAATGTTTAAGGTTTCCTACAGTTTAATCATCATTAATGGCACAGGGAAATTATTTACTATCAAATGGGTCAGAGAATACAGAAAGGTCTTCGCAGTATTGATTTTACACATAACATTAACCTCTTCAGTTGCACTCGCAATTGCCAAGAAGGCTTAACTAATATTAACTCCCCCTGTTATTGAGCCTCAAGGAATAGCCACAGCCAGGATGTCAAACTTATTTTTAAAGGATAAACCAAAACATCTCAGTGCTTCATGGGGTTGACTAGTAAGTGATTAAAGCGTAACTGACTGAACTGAATTTCTGCCAGTATCAACAAAAAACTTTTTTAAAAGGTCAGTCCTATGAATTATTTACTGTTCTCTCAAAGCTGTGTCAACACATCAATTTACTCTCATTCTATTTCTCCTTTACAACCCTGACTAGAATCATTCTGTAGCATGCAGGATGGTGACACAAGTCTGCAATGTATTGAGCAGTGTAACAAGGCTAGGCAACCACCCAAATTATTCAATGCTTTTGAGAGCTAGGAAGAGCAACTTTAGCACAAGCACAGTCCCATAAAGTGCACAGCTTCAGAGCACCTTGGAAAAGACAGGGCAGGCCTTCATCATAAAATCACTCTGTATAGGCATAACTCCTTCCAAAAACCTGAGCATGTGACTGCTTGGAGTAGCACCAAATAAGCTCCAGGAGGCAAAGCAGGCATCAAGTACTAATAATCAGTATTACTATATTATTATAACTGCAAAACTACCCATACAAGAAAACTACACTGCTTTAACCTTGAAGAACTGAAGCACTAATGAAAGCTGTAAGAAAGATTCCTCAAAACTACATATTTAAAAGACCCTCTTTCCACTGTCTATAATCAAGGTATTTTGTCCCTTAGAAGCTTACAACAGACTGCGAGAAGTACTGGGCAAAGTCAAACTACCCCATAGAAGATACAAGTATGTAACATAATTTTATGACCCTGTGAAGATACAAACCCCTTCTTTAGAAACAGCATTCAAGCTTAATTTGGATTATCAGACTATTAAGACGTTTAATTCTCAAATTCTAATAAAAAAAGGGTTGTCCATTAGAAAGTGCTGAAAACAAAGTGTAAATAGTTGGATGCTGCAAACCCACTAAAACATACTCTCAAAGAAAACACAAGTAATGCTTACCAAAGAGGTTGCTATCCAATAAATTCATTAAAAGACAAATTAAATAACAAACCCAGTGATGATGCTTAATGCTCTATTACTTCTTAATTAAGTTTGACCATGATGCACAACCTCTGTGCAAAGTCATGAAGACCTCTATACTACCAGGCTGCCTGAAGTGAAGCACGTTTCTCCTGACTCATTTCTCCTCTGCAGCAGACACACACAGCACTAATTTCCTACCAAGTACAGGTGAACCAGCTGTACTTGCAGAACTTAGGCTTAGATCAAATACTATTTCAACAACTACTTTTCACGAATGATACTGGAATTGTGCTACTGTGTCATAACTTCTGTTGAAATGTGCCTCTTCAGTCCAGATATGGCTGAGGAAAATCATTAGAGATTATCCTCCGAATTTGTATGTTGCAGAATAGCAACCATTACCGTCTTCAGATCTGAAGAAGATTCCTTACATGCAATGCTTTATTTAAAAGTGTATTCTTACAGTTTCACTGAAGTGTAATTGATGTTTATAGTTTTGTTCTACTGGAAACTACAGTAAGTATCCAGCTACCAACCATCAAACTTAAGTTATGCCTCTGCTGTAACAGAGTAACATTAGATTGACCTCTGTAAAACACGATGGAATTTTGGCCTTCATTTCCAAAAGACTCCAATTAATAGTACTCCTAGCATCTGGCTAAAAATAGCTGAAACAGTTTATTAAACACAGTTTCTCACATTAAACTAGTGATCAAACCCCCCTAAACTTCAATCAAAAGCTCTGGAAAAGAACACTAATATTTTTTATTCCTTATTCAGAAAATATGGTCAACTACAATTAACAAAGCTTATGCAATGAAACAAAAAATTAATGCAAACCTGAAATACTGCAATAACTTAAAACACAGCAGTTCTGTAGAAGATAATTTTCCTAGCTCCTGAGAGTTCAAGTTTCTAAGCCATGACTACAAAGCATAACATAAAGAAGTTCTATATGTAGTGTGTGTATATATATATATATGAAGTATCTATATTTACTACAAAACAGCTATTTGCTTTAACAAAGTAATCTGGGTTAAATGAATAATATGTAAGATAATGTGTGTGTTCCTATGTAAGACAGTGCATGTCTTCATAAGGAAAAGTTGCAGATTTCTGCTCAGACTGAAAAGTCAGGAAGCCTACTCATTGCAGTTCCTACTGTTTTTCAGACTTCTCAGCTAATTACTCAATAGGCAAATTCCAGAAGTACACAAAGGTTCTCAAAAGTATTTTAAATACATGCACACAGCCTGTGTACTTAACTACACTTCTACAGAAACATGGTTTTTAAATCCTACACAAATGTTATCAGCTTTCAGCAAGAACATTATGCATCAAATGAAATACAGATATCTCTAGTTGCAGTAGTATTAAAGAGTTCTAATGAAAATGTTCGCATAAGAGTATCACAATTTCACTGCACATTAAAGAATTCCACAGACTCTAGTTATATTCAAAATTAAGAAGATCCCAGTATGCTAATTTTCTAATTTGTTAAAGGAATGCATTTTTACTTCACACTGTTTGTTTATTGAACGTTCATGGTTAACCTTGACATGAATGTGACACAGCAATACAAGGCTTTGAAAACATATTTAAAAAGCAATCTAAACTGCTTTCATGTTATTCCATGCTGCATTTTCTTGGACTAAAATTCTGTGCATCAGACATGGTCACCAACTTTTAAACCCTGCCAAGAGTCTCATATTGTAAAACTGGAAATTCCTGTATCGATCACCGAATTACTAACAGAAGAACATTCATATAAAGTAGTTGCCATAGATGTCCTAACTAGATGTGATACGTCAAATATTCATACAACAAAGACTTTACTTTTGACCGACATGTTCTGACTTATCCTCATTTCAGTTCTTACTAACAAAAGAAAGAGAAAAATAAAAAAACCTATTTTACTTGTTCCAACAAAAACCTGTTGCAAAATGTTGTGGGAGACGAGAGGTGAGTAGAAAAAACAGTTGTGTGCATAGGTCTAACATTTTGAATGAAAGGTCACATTACTCTCTCCATGAAAAACAATTTTAAAATCCTCTAGCAGAAATTTCTTTACAATGCGCATCATATGCTAAATTCCATTTAAAATTTATGAACACTCAGCTTATAATGAACTTTTTTAGTGCTGTCAGTACTTTTGATAGCGTTTTTGGTATTCTACAGATGGAAGCAGATAAATTTAAAAGTCAAAAAAAGCTGCTACCTAAGAGTGTCATTAAACAATGCAACGAAAGTTGTAAAAATCAGACTGACTTACCGCTAATGCTTTAGATAATTTTGTTCTATAGTTATTCAAAACAATTGCATCAATCTCCTTAAATGGTACGTATGCAAAGCCATCTTTAATAAACACTCTTCTGGTTCTAAAAAGATCCACGGCGTCCACAAGTCCAACCTGAGAAAGAAGAAAACCACACATTTTGGAACAGCAAAATAATGCAGTAACAGTGTTTACAGCCCTGAGATTCAAGGTGGACCAGTAAAGCTTTAAGTCATTCTCTGTCTTTTAACACTATCTCCAGACAAAATGCAAAGATTGTGAAATTACATGCTGACTTAGGAATAGCTGATCGTTATTTTGGTGGGAAAATATTGTTTGCTTAAGGAAAGTCATGCAACTCATCAAAATAAGATACTTCAAAGTTCCTATCTACAATTATTAACTCATTTACGTAGCTTTACACTGCTTACTGATTTGATATTTGGAAATGGACTTCTGTGGGTCTTCTGTTTCAGATGTGTTGAAATATTTGATTCATGTAAACTACATTTAAGAGGTCTTGCTAACAGATCTGGAACCCAAGCAACTTCACTCCAAAGAATCAGTGGGCTACATTAGAAACGCCTTTCCTCTCCCCTTGCTCTCTCACAAAATGAATTCCTGATTAATACAATCAGACCAAACACAGTTCCATCAACAGATGTTTGGGAATGTCTCCATCCTGAACTGTCCTTCAGCCAGGCAAATTAAGTCATTTGTCTGGGAAACATTAAAACTTAAGGCCACTTTTGTGTCAAAAGCAAGGGATAGCAGAAGAGGACAGAAGACATTCATAGAAGTTTAAAGCTCCCTTCATTTTTCCAGTCCTTCCCCCTACCCTTATACCCACACGAAGCAGAGAAACTCTCATTAGTCTCAGTTAATTTAGATAATTGGATTAACTGTTAGAATTGGGAAAACTTAAAATTAGTAACTGCACATTTAACAGAGGGAGAATGAATGCAGATTTGAGAAACTTAGCAATTTCTACTTACCTTATAGAACATTTGTTCTTTCACTTTAGGGAGACTAAGGCCAGGAGTTGATGCACACAGATCATTTGTCAGTTCAGTTTTCTCGTCTTCACTAACCTAAAATGAAGAAGTTGTTTCAAAACTGTTGAAATACTTTAGAATAAGACTTTTTTTTAATTAACATGAGCTAAAAGATTGCTTCAGCTGTAAATATATCACCAGTTTAGTTGAAAAGTGAAAAAGAACTACATATTCAGCAAGTGATCACTAATAATTAAATTAAGCAGAAACCAGCAAAACACTAGTGGTCAATAGTGTTAAGCAACTTTCCTTATGAAGCAAAAGGTAAGATTTTAAAATTTAACAATTAAAAATAAGCAATTTTAAAAATTAACAAAAGAATTGTAAAACATACTTTTTAAAAGAAGTCAATCTCTTTAAAATAAAACTCGTGACAATCCTTGCTCATGTCTAAATTAACTATATGCAATAAAACAAAGCAGGATAAATCAATGGCACTTAGTAAGGATTTTGTCAGATTTTTAACAAAAACATCACTTTCAGCTCATCTTTAAATCCCGACTTTTAACAAAATTAGATATAATCTTATATTCATAAATTTAACTTCCTTTTCTTTTAAGTAGTGAGAACAATAGTATATTTATTGTCCTCTAAATGTTAGTGCTTTTCCAGGTAAGTTCACAGGGAAGTTAAGAGCAGCAATGCTCTAATTTAACAACTTGATGTGTTTAACCCAAAGTTTCTATCTTGAAAAATCACAATGTTACACTTCCTAACACAAAAACTTAAATACTGCATATACATTAATACACATCATAGAAAGACAGAATATCCTGAATGGGAAGGGACCCACAAGGGTCAGAGTCCAACTCCTGGCCCTGCACAGGACCATCCCCAACAGCCACACCACATGCCTGAGAGTATCATACAAACACTTCTTGAACTGTGTTACACTTGGTGCTGCGACCACTTCCCTGGGGAACCTGTTCCAATGCTCAACCACTCTCTGGGTGAAGAATCTTTTTATAATATCCAACCTAAACCTCCCTGACACAACTTCAGGCCATTCCCTCGGATCCTATCACTGGTCACCACAGAGAGCAGATCAGTCTCTGCCCCTTCTCTTCTCCTCACAAGAAAGTTGTAGGCTGCATTGAGGTCTCCCCTCAGTCTCCTCTTCTCCAGGCTGAACAGACCAAGTGACCTCAGCTGCTCCTCATACGGCTTCCCCTCAAGGCCCTTCACCTACTTTGAACATTCTCTAATAACCTTGTATCTTTCTTAAATTGTGGTGCCCAAAACTGCATACATTTGCATAATATGTTCTTGATAAAGTATAATGGAAGTAGTCCCTGAGTGAAAGGGATTAAGTGTTAAGAAACACAGAATACCTTCTCAAAACATAAATGGACAGAGATATCATCAAAGCATAACATGTTGTGAGGCACTGCTGTCCATAAACTGCACGTGTGCTCCGTTATCTATGGTGAGGTGATGTCAGGTTGTAGTCAAGGTAGTTTTTAGAGACTACTCAGGAACCAAGTCCAGGCCATCACATGCAGTAGATGCCCAGACTCCAAATGCAAGATAAAAAGGACACTGTCTTTCCTCTCCATGAAAAGAGATGTGCATAAGAGGTTTTCTTCTCTGAATGGGACAGAATATAAAATTTGCTGACCAACAATGATATGCAGTTAAATGGGCATTTGAACCAAATTTTTTTCCTTCTCAACTGAAACAAAACACTTGTCTTGGAATTCATAGGAAGGACCCTTTAAATTCAAACTTGCAGAAGTACCTTAGCAAAAAAAAAGTTAAAAAAAAAAAAAAAAAAAAAAATAATAAATAAAAAAAAAAAAAAAAAAAAAAAAAAAAAAAAAAAAAAAAAAAAAAAGGTGATTTGATCAATGCATATGAAATAGCCAAGGCAGCAATGTCAAGAAAGAAAGCTTATGGTTACCCTGTCTGCATCTTGATGCACTCTCTCGGGAAAACCAGCTTTAAAAAACAAAAACAAAGAAGCCAGCAAGACAGAAGAATGTAACTTTGAAGACAAAGGAAATGCACAGTAGCATTGTGTTTCTGCATTTGAAAATGTAAAGCTCGGGGAAAAACAGCCTGTAAGGAAACCATTTTTCTTCAACAAAGTAGCTGTATCAAAACAATTAAATGAGTTTCTGTAAATGCAACTAGAAAACACTCTCTATAAAATGTTCTCATTAACAATCTACTTCTTGATAGACTTTGAAAAATTCCTGCTTTTCAAACATTACACACTGAAACTATACACAAATTTCACACAGTGCTACTAAAACCCTGCAACTCTCTAAGATGATCTATTTCTTGTCTAAATAAATAGAAATCTAAGTCACCACATCAGGCTGCAAGCATGTCTTTCACCTACTACAGACCAAAGTTTGAATTTTAATTCCAAAATAGTGTCTTCCATTTTTCAAATCCAATGTTTTTATGCTTCCTTACTAGAAATGGCTTAAGACAGCCCAGTCTATCATGTCATTCCAAATCCTCAGTGACAGTGTCTTTAAATAAAAACACTACAACACATTGTAGTTGCATTACAGTTGCATAATTTCTTCTAGGATTTCTAACTGAAAAAAAAAAACACATCAACCCAAGCCAAAGATAGAGTGGGTGTTGGGGTTTTTTTTGCAGAACACTATTAAAACAGTCCAGAGACTGTTTTATAAACAGGCCAGCAAAATTGGGCGGAAAATGAGAATTTGTTCTTCCAAAATCAATCAGATAATTTTCAACAACAAAACCATTTTTTTCAGTACTACACTTAATTTCAAGGGGATTTTATCTTTAAGATACACATAAAAGAGTTATACTGACTCCAAACTTTACAAGTTGTCTAGCTCCTTCCTTATTAGTAATTTGACCAAATCAATCTTGTACAGATGTAGTCACAGTGATTTTAGTTTTTCTTGCATGTCACTAGCAATTTAACATTGTTGGGGTAAAAGTAGTCCTGTTGAAACCTCACGAAAAATAGGTTAATGGGCCATGACTAAAGATTTGCATAAGACTGGGGACAGTGTTCCCAAAAATATAGTTTTATCAAAAATTGTATTTTTTAAACAAACACAAGTTTTAATGCAAAGTATTATTTATAATATAAATAAATAAATAATACTTATAAAGCTGTAAAATAATTCACATCTTACAGCTTCAAGTATCTTACAGGTTAGGAGAAACTTCAGCAGCCCTTCAAAGACTTTGATCCTTGCCTTTTCTCTGAATTCACATCGCCTTGACGTTTTCGGGTAATAGAGAAAGAAGAAATGATATCCCTAGTCCCTAACTAAAGCTGAGAGACAACTCCAGAATGCATTTAAAAATAGAATTTCCTTCCCTAAAGACCGGAACACGAAAAATAACCTTCCATTGGCATTACTGATTTCAGCATATTCACGTAAAATCGATTGAAAATGCAATGCAAAGAAATATGTTCCTCTTAGTCCAAAGTCCGACTCAAGCTTTCAGTCAGGTCATGCCTGTATCTCTACATACAGAGCACCATGAAACATGTATCCCAATTCTTCTTGTTTCACAGAAGTTGGAAAAGATTATTTTTACTGTTGTTTTTATTTTTTAAATTGTTTTAAAAGGAATACTATGGTTTGTATATTTAATAGTTTCATCTCTAAAATGGTACTTGGAAGAACACATTTCAGTAATAATTAAAACCTAGACACAGCTAAACACAGCTTTTAGGATTCTAATCAAGACTAGAAAGATAAACAGGTTGCTTAACATTTGACAGCACTCAGTGATCCCCAACAGATAAAATACTGTGGTGTTCAAAACATTAAAAAACAAAACAACAAAAAAAACAAACCAACCCCCAAAAAAGCACCGAAAACAAAACACAGAACTCTTCATCTGGTAAACATCTGACATTCCACACTGAACTGATCAACTCACCTCATCTCACAGTAAACAATTCACTAGTTTTGCTTCCTTTGTTTGTAGCCGGTTTAGTAAAATGCTGACCACTATGCCAGCCTTTGCTTTGCCTAAGCAAAGAACAACAGGAGAAGGATCTTCCCTTTTCAGTGATAGTGGGTCAGGTAGCATACCTTGAAACAATTCAACACTTCGTTTTAAGTCTCTTAGACTTAAAAAATTTACAAAAATAAAGATAGAAAAAGGGAAGGCATGAGAGGAAGGGAAAGAAGCAAGTAGTCAGGACAAGCTGTATTATTTCTAGTTTTCTTGCTTTCTACGTGCAGTTTATTCAAGGATTTTTAATCACAGAACTGTCCAGGAAACACAAAGACACATAAATTTAGATTAAAATATGAATAATTTAATATGTAAGGCTTGGTTACAGTCAGTGAGGTAGTTCAAAAAGTTCAAAATAAATTTGATATCCCTACTCTGTTTTAATGAAGAGATAAAGATGCATGCACACATTATACTACTATACATGTGCAACTACTCAATTTTGAAGTTTCTAAGTTTCCCAGTCAGGAACAATAACTCCATGCACAAGTCCTTTCCTTTTCTAGGACTCAGCTCCAGGTATTTATGTGCACATGCCACTGGTGTCCTTAGAAAGCAAACTTTATAAAACTTGCTTTTAGTCACAGAGCAGCTGGTACTCCAGTGGCACAACACCCTTCCCTAAAAGAGATGGTGTCAGTCTCTCAATACTGCACCATATTGCAACTTTAAGTATGAAACAATCATTTCCTAATCAATCTTCTCCATTTCCATGCATCATGCTAGAAACTAAACTAGAACCAGAAAAACAAAGTATTAACCTAGATGCCATTAAATTTAAGAATATGTATCTAAAGTGTAATCAGTTAGTTCATGAATAATAGCTTAATTATGAAAGGATATTCATTCCTAGCAATTAAAAGGATGAAGAGCCTTAAACAAAACATTCCAGAGACCCATAAATCTGTCATTCACAAATCTGATGATTATCAATTGCGCTTTGGCCAGGCACAAATGATTAAGAAGAAAACTTTATCTTCCATGGTACTACAACTTTCTATTTTAGCTCAAATTCAGCTTGCTGGCATACCTAAAAATATAAAGGGCAACACTTGGAATTATTATCT